GGGGGGGAGATATACAGCTCCAAACTCCGGCGCGGTACCAGCACAGCCCTTTTAGGGCCTAGGACTCGGAGAAGCTCCATTTGGTGGAACTGTAATCTCCAGAGCTCTGAAACCTCCCCATTTTTGGTTGATGGTCTTGGATAACTCTTGAGCTGTTCTTTTCCTAGGAATTGTTGTTTGCGGATACTAATTTAGTTTGGAGGTGCATTCTACAAGGGCCTTCTCCATTGTTGTCTTTTAATCTTTAAAAATTATCTCAGTTGGCTTTTCTGTAAAGAAAATGGAAATCCTTTAAAAGCACGAAAGATCAGAAATGATTCCTCGTTGGGCCACCCCCAGTTAGGTCCTGGCACCTCTACTTGCAAGTATTTTTGTAAATGAAGAGATTACAAAGGCATGGTAGGTTTTTTAGGGCTCCAGCTAGTTACAGCTACTTCTTATGCACAAGGTTGTTACAAAAGGGCATTACATCAAGGTAATTAAGAGCTGAAATGGTCGACTTACCACTATTAAAATATTGCAAGCTATTTCTCTGATTTTCAGGCTACTCTAAACCTGCTTTTCCTATAGATAAGATAACTCACTGTTCATGGTATTTAACAATTGAAAGGCTACCTGGAGATCCTGCAGCCAGTTATAGCTAAAATGCAAACATTGAAAACTCATTTTGAACGTAAGAAGAAAAAAACGGTAAAGGTTTTTTTTAAAAAAAATCAAACTGCAGGCGGGCGCGGTGGCTCACGCCTGTAATCCTAGCTCTCTGGAGGCCGAGGTGGGCGGATCGTAATTGGCCAACTAATATATATATAGAAAATTAGCCGGGCATGGTGGCACATGCCTGTAGTCCCAGCTACTCGGAGGCTGAGGCAGCAGGATTGCTTGAGCCAGGAGTTTGAGGTTGCTGTGACTAGGCTGACGCCACGGCACTCACTCTAACCTGGGCAACAAAGTGAGACTCTGTCCTAAAAAAAAAAAATCAAACTCTCATGGAAACTGCCTTACCCAAAACTCTGATCCACATGCCTTAATTAAGTGACCTATCAGGGCAACTAAAGTTTTGCCATGTGAACAAGTTCCAGTCTCATCAGAAGAAACTTGGGATCCAGCTGTCTTTTACAGACTATTGATTTTGTGTTAACCATTTCATGGCTAGAGTTCTAGGATAAAATATCAGAACTTTGTGTGCAGTGTGTATGTGTGAGAGAGTGTATATGTTTGGGTATGTTTTGTGTCTGTCCGTGTATTACATGTTTGTGCTTACATGGTTCCAGGCTGGTTTAAAATTAAGAGAGTGCTCATAAATTAAACCAGATGCTTCATGTAATTTAGTAATCTTTGATAATAAGCTGTATTATGAAAAAAATAAAAGGTATTATTAGTAAATGACAGTAAAAGGTCTCAAATTGTCAGCATACATTTGTTTTTGCCTGGTTTACTGGACATTTTTATGGTCTTGAGGTGTCAATTTGATATAAAGGTTATAAAAATATAAACTCAGCAAAGACAAAATATGTGGATTTAATAAATTTAATATTTGGTCTAATGATTAATCACTAAATCTGAAAAAATACCAACAAAATACCTATGTGTTAAGGTAAAATGCAAATGTGCCTAAGTGACACCAAATTACAATAAATAAACACCAAGTAGGCAAAAAACAAACTTAATCACAAAGGTTTATAAAAAACATTTTGGTTTTGGTCCTTTAATCCTAACTGAAGATAGTTTACTTCCACTGATTTAATGCTGTAGAGAGTTACACAAAGGGTGTGTCTAAGTACTATTCATAAAATACTAACATTACTGTTAGAGATTCAAAGTTGTCCTAAAGTTATACTTAAAAGAAATTAAATTGGAAGCTTTAGTTTTCCCTTGGTCTTGTCCATTTTTGCCCTACTCTTTACAAGTTAGCCACTTATGTATACATTATATTACTGTAACAAAGTGCTTGCCTAAAAAAATTTCTGAGTTATTGATTTTTCATAGTAATTTAAGATAAAAAGTAAATGATGGGCCGGGCGCGGTGGCTCACGCCTGTAATCCTAGCACTTTGGGAGGCCGAGGCGGCGGATTGCTCAAGGTCAGGAGTTCGAAACCAGCCTGAGTGAGACCCCATCTCTACCAAAAATAGAAATAAATTAATTGACCAACTAAAATATATATACAAAAATTAGCTGGGCATGGGCACATGCCTGTAGTCCCAGCTACTCGGGAGGCTGAGGCAGTAGGATCTCTGAGCCCCAGAGACTGAGGTTGCTGTGAGCCAGGCTGACGCCACGGCACTCACTCTAGCCTGGGCAACAAAGTGAGGCTCTGTCTCAAAAAAATAAATAAATAAATAAATGATGGTTAAAATTCCCGAGAATCTCAAAGCAGTGTTACTCTTTTTTTTTTTTTGAGACAGTCTCACTATGTTCCCCAGGCTAGAGTGCCATGGCGTCAGCCTAGCTTACAGCAACCTCAAACTCTTAGGCTCAAGCGCTCCTTATGCCTCAGCCTCACGAGTAGCTGGGATTACAGGCATGTGCCACCATGCCCGGCTGATTTTTTTTTTCTATATATATCAGTTGCCAATTAATTTCTTCCATTTATAGTAGAGACGGGGTCTTGCTCTTGCTCAGCTGGTTTCAAACACCTGACCTCGCAAGCAATACGCCCACCTCAGCCTCCCAGAGTGCTAGGATTACAGGTGTGAGCCACTGTGCCCAGCCTGTCTTACTCTTTATAACTATTGCATATACTATTTACATTGTTTTCTAAAACAATTTAATCTTAATCCTCATGTAATTTTAAACATAAAAATATACAATTTCCCCTGTATCTTTGAATGTTCATTCTGAATGCGTCCATATATAAGTTTTAATTTGTGCTCCTATTAATCCTACTAATACTAATGTCAGTAAGTTTTCAGCAAGCCTTTAAAAACAGTGGTCTTTGCTACCAAACCTTGGGGGTTGGGGCACTTTAAGCCCTATGATGTCAATAGATTTTGTTTAAGAATGTGATGTTTTAAAAAGATCTAATTAACTAATACCTGTAAACAAGATATTCTAAAATGTCTACTATGTTTATAAAATTTAAAAGTGATGTTACATTTATTTAAAATAACAAGTCTTATTAAAATACTTAATTGATTTTTTTTTCTTAATAAGATTTATAAGTTTACATTTTGATCCCTGTTCTGTGTTACATATATCTAATTTACAGGATATAAAATGGTTAATAAATAACCTAAACTTTTTTTTTTTTTTTTTTTTTTTTTTTTTTTTTTTTTTTTTTTTTGAGACAGAGTCTCGCTTTGTTGCCCAGGCTAGAGTGAGTGCCGTGGCGTCAGCCTAGCTCACAGCAACCTCAAACTCCTGGGCTCGAGCGATCCTTCTGCCTCAGCCTCCCGAGTAGCTGGGACTACAGGCATGCGCCACCATGCCCGGCTAATTTTTTCTATATATATTAGTTGGCCAACTAGTTTCTTTCTATTTATAGTAGAGACGGGGTCTCGCTCTTGCTCAGGCTGGTTTCGAACTCCCGACCTCGAGCAATCCGCGCAATCCGCCCTCCTCGGCCTCCCAGAGAGCTAGGATTACAGGCGTGAGCCACCGCGCCAGGCCACCCTAAACTTTTAATAGCTAAGATCTAAGTAAACTGCTACAATAGATAAATACAATAAATACAAATAAAGTTCTCATATAACTTAAAATCTTAAAGTCATTATGTTAAGCTCAAAAAGATAATCATAAAATTTATGGGTCATTTATAAGATAAAATACTAAAACATCAGTTATAAGACGTAAGCATTTAAAGATAATTTTATTTAATTTATCGGTTTTTAAAACTACTTATTCAATATATAAATAATCATTAAAAATTAAATAGATATAAAAGTTAAAGGTTATAAAAGTCCTAACTTACAATCAAATTGGTTATAATTAGATTTGTTTATAATTTTTTAAGGATTAACAGTATCATTAATACACTAATACAATGAAATTTGATTTTCTCTTTTTTGTTTTGAGACAGAGTCTCGCTTTGTTTTTCAGGCTAGAGTGAGTGCCATTGCATCAGCCTAGCTCACAGCAACCTCAAACTCCTGGGCTCAAGCAATCCTGCTGCCTCAGCCTCCCGAGTAGCTGGGACTACAGGTATGCGCCACCATGCCCGACTAATTTTTTCTATATATGTTAGTTAGCCACTTAATTTCTATTTTTAGTAGAGATGGGGTCTTGCTCTTGCTCAGGCTGGTTTCAAACTCCTGACCCCAAGCAATCTGCCTGCCTCAGCCTTCCAGAGTGCTAGGATTACAGGCGTGAACCACTGCACCAGGCCTTTATTAAGTTTTAACTAAAAATCCAACTTTAAAAAGATTAAAATTTATACCCATACAGTCTTGGTATACATTATCAGTAATAATTATAATTATTATGTAAATTGCTATATATCACAAGATAACCAATTTTAATTTGTCGATTATGTCTAGCTATAGCTGGTCCAAGTTTTATCAACTTTGTCTAATTTATCTCAAAAAATTGTTCTTTCTGGCTAAAGTCCAAAGTTGGCTTTTTCAAATAAAGTCATAAAAAAGACTGACAAATCCACTTAAATACTGTTTTCTAATAACTTTAAAAATTATACACTATTAGACAAAAACAAAACAAACTTCCAATACTATAAAAAAACTGATAAGATTAAATTAGCTATACTCATGGTCATAAGACCAAACTAAATAATCACAAAAAAGTCTTTATTTAAAACATTACTAATTCTTTTGTCTTGTTTTCCAGAGTCCTGACAAATTTGAAATAACGGGTTTACCTGATCTTTGAGACCTTAGAACCATCAAATCTGCCAAAGCCCTGTTCAAATATCCTCCCTTTAGGCCCAAGATATACCACAAAAGAGGGGGCATGTCAGATTATAACAGCCAATTCCAAGGGATAACTAGTTTAGACCCCCCAGATCAAAAAAGAACACAAAAAAGCCTAAAAAATACTAAAATACTTTGTTTTCAGGCCACAAACTACAGATATCCATCCCAATCATAAATTTTTTTGTCCTGTTTCCTATAGACTATAAAGTTTATCAGTTACAGATTTCTACAAAAAGTAAATAATTTAGCAGCCAACTTAGTATAAATTATTACAAAGACTAAAATGTTATGACACAATAAAAGTCTCTAAAATTTCTCTTATCTTAAATGTTAATGATGCGTATATTTACTACAAGTCTATCACTAAACCCAAAAATATAGTACCTCAATGCTTATAAATTAGTTATAGCTTTGCCTATCTACCTCCTGTCCTGTTTGGCTTATTAAATCAGCTATAGTCCCCATTTTAGCTCTTCAGTCATTAGCCACAAGGATCCCACCAAAAGACTAGATAAACCCCGGACAGATAGCCACACCACCCTGGCAACAGATAAGACAAAAGAAAAGTGTGGCCATGGATGCTGCCTCTGACCTTGAACAAAAAGAAAAAATTGTGAACTAAAATAAAATTTTAAGGCTCACCCCCCCCCCCCCACCAGCTGACTAAATGACCCCCTCATGGCCAAAGGAATATCCTAAAACTAAACTGTCTGCCAGGAGGAAGAAGGTCAGACACTCCTTATCTTTCCACCCACTCCTTTCTTAGAGACACCCTTTATAATCCATTAACAGGACTAAAGATATTCAAGACAAACCTGCAGGTCCTTAATTTAAACAATAAATCTATGTCCAGTGGTTTATCTCTGATAACAGCTCCTTATGTTAAAGCATTCCAAGCCTTTAGACAAAGCTTCGTGTCTTTAACCAATTAGAAGCCAAAAAAATCTTTAACCCACCTATAACCTGTAAGCCCCCACTTCGAAGTGGCCCACCTTTTTGAGTCAAACCAGTATATGCCTCCCACAAATTGATTTAGGACTTTACCAGTAACCCCTGCCTCCCTGTAACGTATAAAACCAAACTGTAAGCCAGCCACATCAAGTCCACTGCTCAATGCTTCTTGAGCGTCACTCCGGTTTATGGTCCTCAAATTTGGCTCAGAATAAATCTCTTTAAAATTATTTGACAGTTTGGCTTTTTTCCATTGACAGAAGGAAGGATACCTGAGACAACAGGAGACTCCAGGGGAAGAAGTTGCAGAGGACAGCTGAAAGGAGAAAGCTCCCCCCACTCTGCCCCCAGAGGCTTGGAGACCAGCGACAAGTGTAGGTGGAGCAGTTAACTTTCCCCTCCCTTGCATGTTGGGCTGCTACTGCCAGTGAGCAGTGAGCCTCTTGCAGACAGGGCACCAGCCCCCCAGCTCCCTCTGGCCACCTCCCTGCACACAGACCAGAGCTGATGAGCAAGCGCCATATTATTTCTGTCTCTCTTCCCTATCCACAGCTGCTGAGAGACAATTTAGCCACCACCCAGAGGCATCTCCAGGGAACAGGACCTTTCTTTTGGGGGCCTACAGCAGACTGAGGAGTACTCAGACTGTGAGCTCCTTACCTGTCAGCCCTCCCAGGTGTGTGCTGCCTTCAGAGGCAGATCAGCGTGCGTGCTTGAGAGGCAACCCTCCTGCGGGAGGACCTTGTGCCCAGCCCAGGCTGTGATCCTAGGCAGGGAACCTCCTGGCCCACACTAAAGCCAGGGGAGACCCACTGGTGTGAGGTCTGGCCTGCTGGCAAAGGCCCAAGAGAAGCCTTGGAGTTGGAGAGGGTGGGAAGGAGCAAGGCCTACTCCAGACTGCAGGTCTCAGATAGCCCCACCCCCACAAGCAGACTTTCCAGCTGAGTGGGGCCATTCCAGCCCTTCCTTAGCAGCTTTGGCCAGAAGCAGAGAACAGACATTCTGACCCCTGCTAACAGCATTTGTGCTCAAAGGCAGGTTTACCCAACTCAGCTCTGCCCAGTCTCACTCCCTGACCTGCTCCCACTGAGGTGGAGAATAACAGGAACCTGGAATAGCCAGAGCCCTACCCACCACCTGAGGCACTACAGTGTCTCTCCAAAGGAACAAGAGCTGGTTACAGGACCCAACACTGTAGCCTGCTCCTCCTAGCAAGCACCCCCTACCGACAGGGAGGTCATTCTGCACACCCTTTTACTACATCTATTGACTCATCATACAGGTTGTGGTTGAATCTCACCCTATTTGAGATTCTAGCCACCTACTTGCTCCAAGACAAAACAGAGCATGTCATCCAAAGGAAAATCTAAAGGCAAGATGCAACAACTGAACCAGATGGGAAGGAATCAGCAAAAGAACTCTGGAGGTATGAAGAATCAAATGGAAAGCACACCCCAAAAGATGAACACCAGCTCTCTAGAAGTGGACATCTACCAAAGTCAGAACCCTAAAATGACAGAAGAAGAATTTCGAACATGGATGTTTAGAACCCTGAAGGACTTGCAAGAAAAACTGGCTAACCAACACAAAGAACTTATAAAACGATTGCAGGACCTGGAAGAAAAAATCGCTGAAATACTAGTATTTTGAAATACGAAAGAGAAAACATGCTGAACTCCTGGAAATGAATTTACTCAGAAATCTATATGTATTTAGTAAATAATTAAAACAGAAAAAGAAATGTGAAAAATCAAATTCTATGCTGATTCCCTATGCATAGAGGAAATCATAACTCAAGAAGCTTTGATAATATCTGTAATATTTTATTTCCTAAGGTGAGTGGTGTGCTCACACTACATTATTTGCATATTACATTATTTCTTATGCCTATAATATGTCATAATATTAAAAATTTGACTATGTTGCTATGACAGATTCTCACCTGAGAGATAATAAAGCATTAAGAAGCCCCTTTTTGCCATGCTTTCCTCTTTTACCCACCAACTCTTTCACCCCATGGGCTCTAAAGATCTCCATGTTAGCCAATCTGAATATGGGAGTAAGAAACAATATTTAAATAAAGGTTTCTTCTAAACATTTGCCTATTTTAGACAGCCTAAAAATGATTTACTTCAAGAATAGTTCACCAAGCCTGGTGTTATACTCCTCTGTCCCTAGAACCTCAAATACACTTCACCTATATAGTGACATTCCACTACCAAAACAAAAAGTTAGGTCCATAATTAGAGAAGAAAAGAAAAAGGTTGAAATATATAAATACCACATAATTACTGAATTTCTTTCTCACCTAATCATTTAAGATTAACAGCAGATCTTTTCCTGGTTAGTTAGCTCTAAAAGTAAAGGGTAAGGCTCATTCATTCTTCATTAAATATGTACTTGCCCTGGTCAATGCCAAACTGAAATTGGTGTTTAAATTTAGTCATATCTCAAGACTCAATTGAGTAATAGTACACCAAAATAAATGCTTAAATTTATAATGGCATAGCCCCTAAAAATTCAACTATAAAGATGATACTTTGTCCATGGGATGTTTATGGGCTAACAAAAGAAAAAAAAAAAAAAAAAAAAAAA